TCAAATCCAAGAGTGATAGCGATAGTAGAAGTATTAACAGTAATGGAGAAGATTAAGGAGCGAAGATATGATTCGATAAGTATAATTCAGTGAAATAAATTTAAAAAGAGAAAGATGAAGGTGATGAGGAATTCAGAAGATTAGAATTTGAGCGGAGATAAAGCATGAATGCATCTGTACCATTGCAAACGATCTTAAATAGCAGGTGATAATTAACATGAGATCTAGATTCAAGGTTTCGTGTCGACTACCTTCTCCAACTGACTAACATAAGTTGATATTAAAAGGTAATAATACCGTTGATCAACAGAATATAAATTTATATTTTTAGTCAAATGAAGTTTGTCAATGTCATTAAATTTTGACTATCAAACAAATTTGATGACTTAATTGAATCGTGAAGTTGTCGAAAAATTAATCGTTTACAGTGGCTATTAGTAGAATTCAAGATGCGCATTTTGTTTTTTGAACAATACAACACAATTGCATTTAAAGGTAACGGTACTGCGTTTAAGTCATATAGTGGACATCAACTCTGAGATAGATGCAGATGGAGATACAGCTAAACACGCGTCCGAAATAGGATGAAACGTGCGTCCTAGACTCCACTGTGTTAAACTATCATCCATCTCTGTTTGTAATGCTTGCCACTATGTGGCGATACCAAGATAATCTGCCTGGGATGCACATATATATGCCTAAAATTGTGACAGATCAATTACATTCTTAAAACATCAATGGAACGATTCAAATAACCAATATAAATCAATAAATTTCGGTAACATAAAATGAGAAACAATAATAACAATCATGATAGTAATAGTCATTACAAATTAAATCAATACTTTTTGTCTATTAAATGTGACCAGACACTTAACTTATTGACTATTGACTATGTGGTTTCTTATCTTTTTGATCACTGATTTCTACTCTGAACTCATTACTCTGAGCGTAGACTGATTTGTTAATGTGACCTAGTTTTTAATCTGATTATTAGTCGCAAATCGTGTCTATGTTAGGACATGATCTATTCGGTGTATAGTGAGTGTATCGATAAAGTATCTAGTCTAGTAGTAGTAGTAGTAGTAGCAGGAGCGAAATTTCAGTCGGTGGTCGTATTATAGTAATATAATTGCCCACAAATGTCTTGATATGGAAGAGTGTGGAGTTCGCTCTACTTTTTAAAATAGCCACTGTCAAAGAAATCCTACAAAATGCAGCGCGGATGTTGTCTATGAAATTGAGAAGACGGAAGACAAACGTTCAACGCCTAAACCAGTTCGATAGACACGAAAGATCCATCTAAAAGTGTTAGAAAACCCTGAATCGAAACAAATTAAGCCCATGGGCTACAGGATCTTGAGAAAATAAATAACGGCTGCATCTACTGTTGGTCACAAGGTTATTAAGTGAAAGCCTTTCCTAATATTGCTCTACTGACTTAAGGATAGGACCTGTAGGTAAAAGGTTCAAGGAATGATCCCCTAACAAAAACTATCTACTTTGGTTTGGGGATCCAGACAGGATGCCGTCCTACAAACAGGTTGAGTGATTTTTGTGGCGCATAAACATCTAGGCGTCTCTTTGTATCAATGTTTATGCATCTAAATAGTAATATATCGTAGCGACCATTTCTATTCTGATGTTACATTGAACTTTGTCTTTTGTTTTTGTACACATAGTTTTCGTTTTTTGATTAGTATAATCATTTGCTTATGCCGTTTGGAGAAATTCGGGGTTGGATAGATTTAGGTAGTAAGTTAATAAACTGTCGAACCATTGAAAATGATTTGATTTACGTTGGATTAAGTTGATCTCGTGTACTGTTATAGGTATGAGGGCGGATGTAACTTCCCAGTCCCCTACATCGTGGAAGAGTGTTTCTTGAGGAACCTGAAAAGGAAGTTGGGTTGGCGTTGGTCTTACCAACCAGAGAGAGTGGCCGCTGAGCTCAGTGGACAACGGCTTGGGGTCAGACACACATGGCATTTTTATGGGACGTTTTTAACGCGTTAGCTACACTCTTGAAAAGGTTTTACCGTCGGAGAAGGAAATCCGTGGGAAAGGGTGAGGTGTGACATTTTTAGGGTCGACCTTTTTAAACCCTCCCTTCCTTGTGAGAAGGCAGCATCACTGCAAATGCTGGTTGTCCGAGGGAAACACCTTACTGCTATCGCAGCCCTCTACAGCCAGCAGTACGACTGCGCCCTCAGAACTTGAGTAGCTACTTTTAGTCTTACCGTTCTCCAGTCAATTTGTCTGGCATGGTAGGACCTAAAGGAACATATCTTCCAGCCAATGTAGCTCGTTTTGTGAACTGTTCTACGTAATTACTGAATGAAGTCAGTATGTAAAAAGATGTTGTAACATAATTATTGCTATTATCACAAAACTTATTGCATCATTGATATTCAAGAGACTGTTGACCAGTCTTTGTTGAAATACGCATATCTTAGTCAATTTGTCACTTGTTTTCATCGAACAGATGGGTTGAGAATAGCAGTGGAATACAGTAATTGAGTTATGTCCTACTTGGAATTTGTCGGCGAGTCTTGATTAAAACAATGTAATAAGTGTTATTCATATCTATTGAAAGGATTATAGAGGACCATCTCAATTCATTAGCTGGGTGTTTAGAATAAACAATACTGAGTTCGGGTCCCATGGTAAAATAGAAACACTAGGATTTAGAAAATCTACGATCCCCGCACATAGGCATCGAACCCAGGACCTCCGGCCTCGCACGAACGCTTAACATCTAGACCATCGAGTGACTAGCTCCGAGAGGTAATCCTCAGAGTTCTAGCGAAAAGCCATGACCAGTAGAGTACAAGCTGGTTGGGTGAGTCAGCTACTCAACGAAGATAATGGGTGAGGTTGCGTAAAACCTAAGGTTGATTACAGTAATTCCATTGAATTTCGGCTCGATAGTCTAGAGGTTAAGCGTTTATGCACGAAACCGAAAGTTCGGTTTCAGAGAACGGGGTCCATGGATGGGCACTATTAATAAGTCCCAAACTAGGAAGAAATGGCCTTCCAGTGCTTCCAGGTTTCTAATGCTGGTCTAAAAATGATCGATTCATGATTTCAATGAAACTCAACAATTTTCACAACTGTAGTATAATGAAAATATATGGTTTTGTTTCGCAGCTAATTGAAAATAGTGAACTGCAATGTCAATAGTAAGTTGGTCGAATGTCGAACTACTGACATTGTCACCACAATATCTACATACATATTATGAGACTAATGGTTAGATAAAAAATAATTTGATTGAAATTTAGTCGTAATGCATGATAGTTAATATTTTCCAAAGAAAAACTTCCGATATTTAATCTTGTACACAAATTGTGCATATAATAAGTTGCCTTCTTCTTCTTCTTCCTCATTTCTTCCTAGCTACCTAATTTATCTATGCGCATAATAATGCTTATATCAAAAAAAGGGATTTTTCATTGTTTTGCCAGTCCTTTCTTCACAATACCGTGAACTATGCCTGCGACGAATAATTGATGAATGTGTGAATTTACTTCAAGGTAACAGTGCAATAATCAAAATAAAGTCAAGATTTGGAGTTAGAGTGCTTTGTACAGGTGTGTACATCATTCTAGTAAGAGATTGACTTATCAAGTAGTACGGACGCACAACTTTAACATCAAAAGGGATCAAATCAAGGATTTTGAGGTGAATACTTAAAACCTTCAAAACAATTGAATCTGTTATTATAAACTGTATAATTATAATTTTTACCTGTATAAAATAAGCATGTGCTTGTGCTTCAGAAAGTCGACGAAATTGTTGTTGCTGCTGTTGTTGTTGTTGTTGATGAGAAGATTTACGTTTACCGGTTGATTGTTCTACAGAGGATACTTTACGATTTTTTAATTTATCTAATTTTACATCTGTCTCTTGATTATTCTGTGTTGATATCATTGATAATCTAGGATGAAATAGACGAGATTTATTCAATTTTACAGGAGATTCATTAGTTTTTTTAATTTGATTTTTTGTAATATTTTCATTAAATTTCATATTGGATGATTGGACATTGAATTCGCTTGATTCAAATTCATTATCATCCGAACTGATAGCTGTATGCGATGGTACACCGGATGCTTGTAAATCATGTACAGAACCAAGACAATGTTCCATAACTAAACATAATCGATCAGGATTGGCTAAACGTAATACAATAACTAATGATACAACATGTCGACAAGCAGATAATCTTCGCATTAAACTTGCTTCATGCAATGCTTGATTCCAACCACCGGGAATTTTTCTTACACCTAATTTACTAATAATTTTTACAGCATGACGTCGTAGTGTAAACAAATCGATAGCATCTTTTACCTGAATATAAATAGAACAAAAATATTATTAATTTTCTAAAAAAAATAAAAAGCCAAAATTATATAAATATCTTGTTTAATTATTTACAAATAAACCGGTGGGCATTTGAAGCAGTGGTACAAATTCAAACCACTGACACAGTGCTAAAGTTCTACCAATTGAATTCCAAATCTAATTTAGATTTTAATTCATCACTGTTCATTGTCATTCGCAACAACTCAACATGATGGTGTAGGCGATATCGAGTCATTCAAACTAGTGACCACATTTTGGTTAGTATTAGAAAAATGATTAAACACTTCTCAGAAAGTAATAACTTATAAATAAGAAGTTCAATAGAGGTTGGAATAGCTCAAAGAATTGGTAAATGGTTCTCAGACTGTGAAGCTAAGTAATACGAATTTCAGTAACCCCCGATACAGGTGTATCTATCCATAAACTCGTTAGAATCAAAGGCACACACCATAATGATAAGTCCCATTTAGCAGCATAAAATCTAGGTTCATGATTTCTTACAGACTAAGTGTAATTAAAAATACTTAATAATTTTTATTGTTTAGTAATATTTTATCCATGCAAATTAAAAATCAAATTGAATTAAATGAAATTCGATTATACACATGTAACGTTCGTTATCCAATGATTGAAAATTGAATAGTTTAAAATTTTTTTCTAAGTATTAATCAGTTTAATATCAAATTGACAACCTGAAAAATTTTGTGTTTAAAATGAATAAAAGTATTATTTGTACTATATATATACTCTTAGGTATAAATAGTGCGAAATCTAAACCTGTAAACATAGTGAAAAAAATTACAATTACCCTGGAAAAGTAATGGAGATTATTGTTTATCACTGAGATCATTGTTAGAATAACATTATAAACTTGGGAGAATTGGACAGCTGTTTCATACTGGGTTCAATTCTCGCGAGCAGGGATCGTAGATGCATACTTCTGATGAGTCTCATACTAGGATGAAACGGCCGTTCAGTGCTTCCAGGTTTTTAATGGCAGTGTAACAATAGTTGATTCATGATTTCGATAAAATATAGGTATATTGATCTTCACATCGAAACTTAAATACAGTACCTTTGCTTCTCACTTCGAATGATATTGTGTTAACCTAGTGAGTTACAGTGTTCAGTGAGTCATTAACTTATTCAAAAGGTATGAATTTCAATAGTACAGATAAGTGATTTCTCATGGGTTAGTACTCAGCAGCGCGATCAATGTTAGACCATTATTGAAAACATAAACTACTAAACAACCGTCTCGTTAATGTATGAGACTCATCAGTAGTGTGGATTCACGATCACGCAGCGAGAATTAGGTCCAAGATCTTCGGTCTTGAGCGCAAATACCTAACCTGTTGACCATCAAATCGGTGTACGTATCTAACTTCAATCAATCCACGATATTACACGGCCGAACTTCCCAGGTTCGATTTCTCCATGTAACAGTGTCATAGATGCACATTGATGAGGAGTTTCATACCAGAACCAAACAGCCGTCTGAAAGTGCTTTCAGGTTTTCGATAATGGTGGTCTAACACTGATCGGTTCATCGTTTCAATAAAATATCGGAATAGTTTAAGTAGTAACAGTATTAGTAGTAGTAGTAAAGAACTCTAGATATACAAAAATATGATTCCAGACGGAAGAATAAATTCGTGAAATTAAAGGAATACAAAAGTGGCCGCCGATCTTCTACACTGTTCCAACAAAATTCTTAACTATTCCATATGAAATTGGATAAGTGATATTCATTTTATTATGCAAATCAATAAAAACAAGTTTCTTTCAAAGATAACGTTCATAACCATCATTTGATATCAAAGAGAAAATTATCAGGAAAAACCACAAAACACAAAACAATTGTTTAAATCTAGTACTCTTTAGCTAGACTCGAAAAAAACTTATATTTCACCAATGATTAAAGATAGGAAAAAACCAGTATGAATTCGAGAATTTTGTAAACTGTAAAATTTTCAACGAATCAGTATCATAAAATAAACAATACTGATATTTGGAAGGTGATAATTTTGATAAACCATACAAATTCAATGATCAAAACTAGAGCGCGCAAAATTCAAATTGCTCTACAAAAGTGATCGTATTGTACAGTTGATCGGTCACTGAGTAGTAAGTGATTAATGGTCATGTATATTAAGTCATTTTTAATACTGTTTGAATTTCATTGACCAAATCACAATGTGATTAATAGTCAAAACGACTTAATATCACAGGATATGCTGAAATATAAGATAATGATTAGAAATTGTTGACGATAGTAAACCCTGACCTTACGTTCCGTGCAATTTAGCACTTGTCAATAAGGCGTACCTGCTACCATGAGAGAACTGGTATACCCTGGTTGACTGCAATCTTGTGTCACCGAGCTTCACAGTCAGAGACATTACCACTGAACTATTTGAGCCGTAACTGATATCTGGTAAGAATGAGACATATGTACAATTGATTGATCAGAATAGTAAGTGATTTATGGTCATGAAATCACAGTCCTTCTTGGTGTGCATAAACTACTGCATGAAATCCAGATCTAGTGTTTTAATTCAACTACATTCAACAACTAACTACCTTACGTGGTCATATAGCCTTTGCTTGACCAAGATCCACGTTCTTAACGCTTTACATAATTAATTTCGTATGTATATGTGTGTGTGTAACAATTGTATCTATCCCTTGAAACCTTTTAAATCTGTTCTTTTAGGAAGGTTGTTTTTTTACAGGATGAGGTTGCTAATTCCATACCCAACTCTCTTTTTTTAAACTTAGATTTCGAACAGGTAGTAAACCAAAAACGATTCCAGTCAGAGTTTGAATATTATCATAAGTCTGCTTCTTTTATTCCAAGAAATTATCAGAAATTATCATATCTTCTCAAATTATATTGTCAACGTTTACCAACATTCATAATTTTTTTATTATGCTGGAAGTTAATTTGACAATTTCATTTCGATTTGCTGATATAATGTGATTTCCTAATTGCTTTAAAAAAATGTGTATGCAGTAACTTGAGCATAAGAGAAAAAATTTGAAGTACAAAAAGTACGCTTTACTCCGAGGTTACTTTATGTACAGACAGACAGATACAAAGCAGAACTTCGTACATAAGTACATCAGTTCAGGTTCACATACCGCATTAGCACACAGACACAACTGTCTGTTCTAATCACATGGTGGTAGCGATAGTAGAAGTATTAGCAGTAATGGAGAAGATTAGGGAGCAAAGATATGATTCGAGAAGTATAATTAAGTGAGATAAAGTTAGAATTTGATAAAACACAAAGAGTGGATGCACATGCGCCACTGCAAATGATTCTGAGCCATGTCGTTCAAGGTATCTAACCATTGGTAACTTTCGTCTAGCGGACCCCAACTAGGTAGCCTACATCTACCAACATGACTCAGTCCACTTGTTAGTGATTTCATTGATTTCTGCCATGTTTTGGTTTGACTGCCCCTAGATTTTTTCCAACCTACTCCTACACCACCAGTTTATGTACAGAAAAATGAGGGCATTTATAGAATTACTCATGACCTTGAACTTATTGGAATCACACTTAAGAATGGTGGTGTGTGTCATGGTTAAATATGCAGTCAGAATTGTGGCACATGATTCTGTATTTTCCAAATGTTTCTATGAAGGTTTTATTCAGTGCTGATTAATTAAAACGTTTACTGGTGTTTCTTGAACTTTAAAGATATTTACAAGAGATGTTTAGGGACTCCTTAACATAAATCATCCAGTTTTTTTCAAGAATATAAACACAATTAAAACACTCCACTTGAACGGCAAGTATTTGCATTCATTTACTTACTAAATCGTAAAAATCTGGTGCCAGTTCTTAAATCCTACTCCTAAACCATAAAACTCAACCAAAATCCTAGCCCCAGTATGATAAATACCTGATTTATATACACTTGCTGCATACTGATTGATTGAACATTTCAAGGTCATTCAAAGGCTTGTCTAAGTTCACCTTTATACAGTAGTTCAGAGGAAATAATGTAAACTACAAAGTAAGGAAAAAGCTACTATAGTAAATTTTTGGTAAATATACAGTATGTAGTTAGCAATGGAATAAAAGATATATGCTCCGTCCTATTTACAACTCATCAACTGGATGTACATCCCAATGCTGATGTTGTGGTCATTGAGATTCGAACCTAGCCCCTATCGCTCAATAAACGGCTAACGCATTATCCACTGAACGATCAAATGCAGATAGGCAATAAATAACTTGTTCAACACATACACACACAGCTACAATCGAGTCTTTTTTTTCCTATTGAACAATCAATCATATCAGGAAACAGAAATAAGAGGGATTTTATGGAGAGAGAGAGAGAGGGAGAGAAAAAGAAACCCCTGATGGTATTGTTACGCAATGAATTGATTTTTTTGACATATTTATCTGATCGAATTTTACTTTATTTTATTTATTACAGACAGAAGTAGGGATGCTGGTAGTCGGCTATTTAATTGGTATATCCCATAAATTTTGATCGATCGAATTTTTACATCATCAAATACTTTATGATTTAATGAACTGTGTGTGTATTAAATATGTTGATATTTATTCATATGATTTGTAATCTGATTGGTATTATGTATTTTCTACATTTGGTTCAATATACAATGCTATTAAATTATTTTTCCAGTCGATGATTTTAAGCGCCAAATTTCTTTTTTAATCAGATTATATTATCAACTTGACAGATGATCATAATTATGTTAGAAAGTCAATTATGCATGAGTAGATATTTAGTTAAAAGTACAAGGATAAACCAATCAGGTTTTAAAATGCTGATTGCATGTCATCATATTGCGCAATTCAAATAAATACGTTGACTATCAATTATATATACTCACTAATTCTGATAAAAATACAATAATAACTTGAATACAAGGTATCTGTATCCGAGCTGAGATTTCATCAGACACCAGGCCATGAGTACCGATGAGACTACAAAAA